CTGTCTTCAATCGAGGAGAACTCAGGCAGTTCTATCTGGGTGAAAGGCAATTAATACAGTTTGTTAAATCAAAAATATAGTTTACAGAATGTTACGTTTTAATCGTCTATTATGTATATAGTATAGCAGATTTGTAGATCCAACCAAGGTGTTTCATTCCTTTCAGTTTTTTCTTTTAGATGTGACGGCCATGTTGGATTAATGCAAATGAAGCATCTGTCTACCCAGGAAACCATTTATTTATTTACATCTTTTCTGTACTGTACGATTCTGTTTAAAATTTTATTCTAGCATCTTAAACTTATTACTTATGCCACATAGAAGAGAAGTTACATTAAATAATTATATTATTGCGGCCATATTGAATTTATGCTAATTTTCCTCTACCCAATCAACACATTTGGCACTCTCATACCTTCTCTGACTCAAAACAATACCATAGCATCCTGAAACTTTTAAAATACCTCATCTAGAATTAAAGTTATGTCCAAATAGTTATATTTCCATATTGTAAAAATGTGCAAAACGGCCATTTTGAATATATGCAAATTAGGTATATTTCGGAAGCCTAGATTTTCCTAGACTTTTAATATGTCAATCTATATACCTTTCCGAAAAGCACTGTGAAGAATGTTTTTCTGTTGCAATTTGTGATGGGTTGACCCCCTTTTTTTGCTAGAATGACTGGACTAACAGGGGAAATCTCGTCGTTTAGTTAAAATGATCTGAGCAACTCAAATCAAAACATTTTTATAGCAAACTATATATTTTATGAAAGTTGAAATATTTAGGAATTTGATCATTCACACTTAAATTTTGCATGAACTCCATTTACTCTGTAGACAAAATATACCGATGATGCGTCTGGACTCTTGATGAAAGTGGGTGACTTCTAAAAAGAAACTGCTGAATCGTTTGGGAAATTTTTGTTGTGTAGCTGCCTTGATGGATGTAGATGACTAAACAAACAGACTTTCATCTTGTTTTAGGCATAACCTTCAATTCACATTAGGTTGATGTATTAATAAATGGTGTATACCAGGGAACACATTACATATTATAAATAATATATTTATTAATATAATAATTAACGAGATATACATGCACCAACCCACCGGCACATATCAGTATTACTACTTGCCAAAAATTATGCAAATTAGCTACCAAAATCTATAAAAATGCTTAAAAAAACGTACATAAAATTACATGCATCATGGTCTTGTGTTTGGCACATACATGTTAACCATGTGGTGTTAATCAGGTGACTACGACTTATAATCAGGTGACTATGAATTAACATGTACATGTATAGTGGTTGTTTGGAATGTATAGTGGAATTTGGGACTTTTTCAACAAAAAAATGTTCATAGAGTGGCAGCCTGACAAAAGTGAACAACTTGTCATTACTTTGATCAAATACACCATGTCATAACCAGGTTGCAGCATGTATGAACACAGAATTCTAAAACACTTATTGGCCAAAATACTACTTAACCATGTTGGATTACAGTATACATCATACCAGGAACATTACTTGCCAAATATAAATTAAAACATTTAGCAACAATACTTACAGCAAAAAACAGGATTACTGAATTATAAATATCAGTTGTTTCAAAAGAATTGACAGACTGCTTTCAACATTACATACATCAAGATGCCAACTATTCTGTGACGGCTGCAGGCTTACAAGGCTCCACCAGATGTTAACTGATTTTAACAAACAATTACAATGTAGACAAATACCACTCTAACCAAGTAACATTGACTTCCAGTCTTCTCAGAAACTAATTCCAAAAATACCGTTATATGATCAAAGATACACGTAAGCACCTGACTACCAGTACAAACAACAAAGACAGGAAAAAAAAAACATGGATGTATTGTCTAAATTCAGATCCACATTATTTAAAACACACATACAGAAATATGAAACGGCATTAACTGACATTTTACCTTTAATAGTATTATATGTATTGAATTTTATTATTAACATTTTATTGCAGCCAACCAATGGAAACTATTTCTAAGGATGCAATAAATTTATTATTTTTATCATACATGAGATGTTTAAAGTTTTACTGTAAACTATTTTAATTTCGTGAGCAAAATCAAGAATCGAAAACTGCATTGAGGTTCAGTAGCAAAGAGACTTTCATGAAATTTTTATCTTCACAAACGCCATTAAATCAAAACTTCTTAGGAGCAACAATTCACAAAAATACAAGCAAATATACAACACCCTTAATTTATAGGTTGCAAAACAAGTAAAACTAGCAGCCTAACACAGCATTTTGTGTTGCACTAAAAGTCAAATCTTTCCTCATTTATCTGAAATGGTATGCTTTAAAATGTGATTAAATAATATCATTTTTTAAATATCATGGAGTCACCATATAAGGTTAATTTAAGTGGAACAAAATAAGACGATTGAACAAACAGAATTTCATCTCATTTTCGGCATAATCAATTCATCAATAGGTTGATGTATTAAGGTGAAATAAATGGTGTATACCCATCCATCCAGTACATATTATAAATAATATATTTATTGAAATAACTGACGATATATATATATACCTGCCCCCACCACCCTGGGCATATTACGACTACTTATGTAGATGTGCACATAATGATGAAATTGATATCATACACACAGTGATGTCTGTACATTTACAAATCCTTTCTTCTAAGCACAATAGGCAATGTACAATTTTGCTATTTTATCCACGAAAATCATGTTAAATATTAATTTTGTTAATGTTAACAAATGACATTGGTTGTTTGAAATATTATTATCATTATACTGGGCACCATATTGTTTCATAAAAGTACATTGCAAAACAGTCAGCAAACCAGTTAACCATTCAGCTGAATGAACTTTTAACTTTGGTGTCAGATTTCAACATACAGGCCGGGGTCATACCATTATCATTGTGACATCGACTACTCATGGAGCAGGAGTTTCATAAATGCATTTAATAGCAGGCCATCATTCTGTAACAACAGGCAAAAATAAATAAACAAGCAGCCTCTCGGCTGAGATAGCTCCGCTGTTTGCAATGCACATTTCAATTATAGAACAGAAGATATCATTAGAAAATGAACAATATGAATAGTATCAATGCAATGGGACTTGCTGTTTTCAACAAAAATTCAAAAATATCATTTTTCACCATAAATGATTGTGGTTTTTAACAAGAAGAAAATATCACTTTTTACCAAAAATGACAAAAATATTCACCAAAATTACTCTAGATAATTAAAGATATTACAAAATGAACAAATATGAGAGAGGTCCACATGTAGTACCTATATATGTAATAATATCAAAGCAATTAGACTTGTCGTTTTTAACAAGAAGTCGAAAATATCACTTTTATCCAAAAATGACAAAAATATTCACCAAAATTAGAGAATTGACGATATCATTACAAAATGAACAAATTTGAGAGTGGTCCACATGTACCGGTAGTACCTATATATGTAATATCAAAGCAATTGGACTTGTGGTTTTTAACAAGAAGTCGAAAATATCACTTTTTACCAAAAATGACAAAAATATTCACCAAAATTAGAGAATTAAAGATATCATTACAAAATGAACAAATTTGAGAGAGGTCCATATGTAGTATCTATATAAGTAATATCAAAGCAATTGGACTTGCGTTTTTTAACAAGAAGTTGAAAATATCACTTTTTACCAAAAATGACAAAAATATTCACCCAAATTAGAGAATTAAAGATATCATACAA